TAACGGCACTTTTTGTGGTTGATTGAATTTCAAATTGTCTTCAGACAAATGTTACTAATTACAAAAACAATCAATGTATAAAATGTTTATATTTTTATATAGATATAAAAAATATATATGAAAATATATTATAACATATATTCCATATAAACTATGTGAACTGTTGGGGCTTACTTCAAGTAAAGAAATTCATAGCAATCTTTGCAATTAAGGTTATGAATTATTTTTGTTGGGAATCTGTTCTCTCACGTCATGTTTGATTTTATATGTACCTAAAAGTAGATACTAAATATATTTTATGTATTTTATAATTATTAAATTGTTCTCGACAGTTAACATTTTTGCTTTTATTCAAATGACTGAGGGTCTACTCTTCAGTTAAGGTCGATTAGCAGCACAAAAGATCAGCCATGATCGCAGTACTCCGCTACGATGAAAGCAAGGATCCCGTATATATTATATTCTTCTATTATTATATATTAATTATTAAGTTTATTTCTTAATAATTGAAGGAATATTGAACAATTTTAGTTATTTTTGTGCTTATTGATCAAGTTGTACTTGTATTTTATGAACATATAAGACACAATATTTAAAATAACAGTTTTATTTTTAAAATAGAACAAGCACTCTTATTTCTTCCATATTTTATTAAAACTTTCAACAATTCGTCTGTAATCTACAGTCATCAACAAGAAATATTACAAGGTTCTTATACACACATATTTTTTATACAAATTTTATACATTTAATTAATAAAAAAAATCAAATTAGTTAAAATAAACAAATATATATATATAAAATATATATTTTTTGTTTTTATATATATATATAAAAACAAACGCATTAATACTAACACAAATCTTATGGATGTATTAATGTGTAATAGTATATAGCTTAATCAAGGTTTTTCGTAACTCATTGAAAGAAACAACGTAGTCCCCATAAAATATATATACTATATATTTATATCACGACGCCATATACAACTTGTACAAAAGAAGAAGCTCTGTCGTCACAAATAGTAGTCCAAATAAGTAGCATTAGCCTTTATGCAAAAATATTTACCATGCCAATAGCTAACTGGTATCCTGCAATTCTAGATTATATCTATATAAAACACCCTTTCTTATTGATCGTTTTGATTCTAAAGCATATAATCTGAAATATTTTTAAATATGCATATATAAATTATTAGCGTTGGTGACTAGTGTCAGTTTGCAACGATCCAATCAAGCTGGATTTATTTTATAGTATATAAAAAATGCACAGAACAGATAGCATATAAAGTGTAAAAATGAAAAACATTAGCACGATCAATTCTAGACCTTCAACAGAACTAATAGCTAACTACTCATTTTCACTACTCTAATCGAATAGTGAAACACCATATCAACTTTCCAGTCAACTCACCGATATACTTTTTTTAAGATAAGCCGTGGAATTTAAAACGCACTTAAACTAATTGAAAAATAGCTGCTGTCAGCTATAGATAGTTCATCTTTCTACTTACTAATATATTATTAATAAGTATAAAAACTTTTAATTGTAAAATTAAGTTTAACACATTACTGGTTATTCCAAATGTCACACAGATTAGAGTAACTTGATTTTAGAAGGGTCTCTTTTTTCATCTACAATTACGGCTCATAAAAAAAATTGAATTCTTCAACGGTTAGTTTGGCTTATTACTTTATTAAATTAATATTTACATATATTAATAATATATATATTTATTTTATTACTTTCTTGTTTGGGTTCAATGTCTTCAGCAATTCTCTAAACAATTTTATCAGAAGTTTTTACATCAACTAATTATTTAATCATTTTTATTTGTAATATAAAGTACAACGACGATATTTTTGAGCTCTGTACAAATGCATATAACATACATAGTATAATCTATATGATCTTCATAATTTTAAAATGTAAAAATAACACAATTAGTACTTTTTGACCGTGAGAACAGAGAAAATAAATAAAATGGCACTCTATTAACACTAATTGAAGTTGGGAACTACAACTCAATTTCACCAAATTAAATATGTCATTATATTTTATATATATATATATATATATATAGATGTATACTGAATAAATAAAAATTTTTCATATAGGAACAAAAAAAATTGTAGCATTCATCATTAATTAAAAAAAATAATATAATTATTAAATTATATAAATTTGTATCACTAAATTAAAATCAGGTAATAACTCGCCAATTATTATTATATATATTTAGTAATGAAAATATCAACAAATTATTTAATTTGAATATAATTAGACTAAATACAAATACTCAAAAAAGGTGTTATAATAGAATTAAATTTTATAGGTTTTGAGGAAATGCAGAACAATTTGTTACATTGTTTAAACAATTAATTGCAGTTATATTAGTGGAACTACTGAAAATATTCCATTCATGAGTTCATTTATTACAAGCGTGTATAGACAGAAATTCATAATAACATAATATAATTTTGGTCCGGTACTAAAGAAAGAATCGATGTTAAGAACGACTATTTATCTTTATTTTATGTTAAAATTTTAAAGAGTTCGATTCATTTCTAATTAACTAAATATTAACTAACATATTTATAACTTTTTGTTACAACTCACCTAATAGGTGCTTCCCTCAATGACCTAGCTATGTGCGCTAACGTTCAACTTATCTGAGTTCCTGGTCATAGGGATATTGCGGGTAACTGTAGGACGGATGAGTTTGTCAAGACTGGGGCTCGTCTCCCTGATATTCATTTATTAGAAGTTGGCGTTCCACTTGCAACAGCTAAACTGGCAATTAAACAAAAATATCTAAGCATTGCTCAGCAACAATGGGCAAGTGAGCCCAGTTGTCACATTTCTAGGTCGATTTGGTCTAACTTGCATAAAAAGCGTACGAGTAAGCTGCTCCAAATAAAGATAGATCTGCTCAGTACTACGGTATCGGTGCTGACGGCTCATTGCTTAATAGGGAGGCATGCTATGAGACTAGGGGTTCCTTAGGACGAGGAGAAAACTGTGTTCCATCTCATGTGTCAGTGCCCATCTTTAGCCAGAAGAAGATCAAAAATCTTGGAGTCCCCTTTTCTGACCGATCTGACTGAACTGTCATCCTACAATGCGGGTTGGTTCTCCTTCACCTAATTGGGGAGTCGTTGCCTCTCTGTTGGGCGTTGGTCGTATACTGATCACCTTGTCTATATACGAACATTGCTTCTTCCTTGTGGTACCACAACGGGCCATTATTTGTGCTCAAGTGGGCTTTCTTGGTAAACAAGGCTGCCACTCCAACCAACCAACCAACCAACCTAATAGGTTTTCTTAACTGTTCCAGAAAAATAATATTACAGAAAAACAGATTGTTTAAGAATATCTTAATAAAAATAGATGTAGTAACCAAAACGAACGAAGGCACTCTTGAACGAAGTCCCTCTACTTTTTTTTTAACTTAAACTTCTTATAATACGACTTGTAATCTTACTAGAACTTTAAATGCTTCTGGCGTCTTCGATTGGTAAATCTGGGATTACCTTTTAATCGAGTTTCATTTTTAGTGCAATTTTCATTTTCGATTGGCAAATCTAGACCGAAATGTATAACACTCGAGATTAATTTATAGCGCTCTAGATATTTTGCCAGAGTATCAAAATTACTCTCAAATTAACAATTGTTTTATATGACTTGACAAATAAAGTGCGATTTCAATCGATATATGCATTTATGAAAAATATAAATGTCTATAAAGATTCTATGAAGGTGTCTATGAATATCCTCATATATAAGGCACGTTTTCTTCCAGTGATCACACATAATATATTTGGCTAAGCTCTTTACAGGATATTAACGTTGAAAGCACTTGCATTGCCATACAGTTGATAACCATATGTTAAAATTGGTGTAATGATGCTGTTATATAAGATAACTTCATATTTTCAATTTAAAGGCCTTTACCTTTGGCTGTTGAGAAACCAGTGTAACCTAACATTTCAAAGTTTGTGTCTATGTGCTTACGAAATTTTAATCTTCTACTTAAGTGAACAGATACTTAAGTTATCTGTTTGGGGAATTCGATGAATCTATTTTGTTCATTAAAATTGATACGCCATAGGGAAACTATTTACCATTCTTTGTGAATCTTTCAAATATCTTCAGGCCAATATACTAAACGTGTTAAATACCTCTAAATATAATCATTTTAATTCTTCAAAAAAATACAAAGTTCCACTTTAAAAAAAAAACTTTAAAACTGTTTTAATACTTCTTTAGATAAATTATCTATTCTGAAAAGAGACCGATATAAAGTTTCATTTAATTTTTGTCTATTAATATCTGTTATTGTTTTTGCTTAAGATTGATTAATAACGTGATAGTAATGAATAGATGGAATTTCCAGACAAACAGTATAAGAAGAAACCTTGCACATATCTTGAAGCATTAAATTGAAGATAAACAAAAGCTTAACCGATGGAATAGACTGACACCAAGCAGCAGTACCGAATAGCAACAATTTGTTGTGTCCTGTGCTTCAAAATAGATTATCGGAACCTTTATAAGAGTTTCGTGTTATCTATAATTTGATAACTCAAACTGATTACGTAATTTATAATAAGGTATAAAAGTACAGAATCTCTATATAACAACTGATAAGTTGGAAAAACTGTGGTTCTCTGTGTTGATTATACTTTATTATAGAATTATAGATGCCTTTATTATATTTACCTTTATCCATACAGCTACAATAATAAAGAAACCAATGATCTAAAAAAATACTCCAATTAACTTAACGCTCTCCCAATCGAATTGCTAATTTGTTATAAAAAAAAATTAATTTCAAATAATAGCAAAAATAATATTAAACCACTTTGTGAAGCGTAACCACTGTATTTAGAAGAGCGATGAGTTAAAATATTTTCAAATTGAAATTAAAATTAAAACATATGGAATGTATATGTATGTATCTAATGAAACAATATTTGGGAACATATATAAAAGCCTAGCTCAGTAGTTTATAAGCAAACAGTTCTCTTCAGACCGCAAAGCAATAACTAATCCAAAATGAGAGCTGCAAATTTATGGAGTTTCGTATTTGTCATTTTTATTGCTTCTGCTATGGTATTTAATATTTTAGTACATTAAAATAAAACAAGATATTAATGAATTTACTTCTCTTATAAAACGATTTTATTATATGTATTACTGCAGTCGGGGGAGTTACACCCAGAAATGGTGAAAATGGCACAGGCTTGTCTTAAAGAATATAATCTCGAGGAAAATGAAGTCAATAAACTACAATGGGATAACATTGATTTTTCGAGTGTAAAGGATGAGATCAAGTGCGCAACTAAGTGTTTCTTCGAAAAGAGTAAATACATGGACTCAGCAGGAAACTTTAATGCTGAATCCGCAAAGAAAGACTTCGAATCTGATAAAAAACTGGTGCAAATTATTGATGAATGCAAAGTTATGGAATATGACAACTCATGTGAAAAAGCTTTCCGAATTTTGGCTTGTGTAGTTCAGAAGAAAATGTAATTTAAAATGTGATGAGAAATGTGTTTAAAATAATTGATTTACTAAACAAAATATTGAAAAATAAAAAAAAAATGTGATAATACG